CAGCTCTGAGCAGTTCCCCTAGGCATGACCTGGTTCCTCTAGACCCTGGGTGCCCTCTGATACACTCTGACTGGGCGGTGCTCCGTGACCCGGGCCGAGTTCCAGGACTGTGCGCCCTCCTCTGGGCAGCTTGTCCTGAACAACCCGGGCTGCAGGTGACCCCCGCTCCCTGTTCTGCCTCTCAGCAGCGTCCGTCATTGTAATGTTGTAAAAATGAAGCCCAAAAAGAAGACCTGCTTACACCAAGGAAGCCCATATCACCCAACATTCAAAGCCTTCGTAGTTGTGGAATAAGACCATTCGGTCACTCATACATGAGACGGAAACAGGCCTTTACCAGCTTCGGCAAAATGCCAATCGCAAGGACACCGGACCATGAATTCCCAGGCCCCATGGAGGTGACCCCAAGAAGAGCAGTGTTCCAAACCTCGATCTGTTGTGTGACCCTACTTTGTGTTAGCACCCTTCTTTTCAGCACAACCTCCTAAGTCTAATTTCATGGTTTAGAGAGAAGGGATCTGGTTGCCTAAGGCAGTCAGTCTCCATTGCTTTCCTTCCCCCCCCCCCAAGTGAGTTCTCTCTCACCGCTACCCAGGCTGCCAGGTAGCTTTCCCCAGTCAGTAGTCACCCCTTACAATGCCCAAGGGGTCTGTGAGGAAGGCATTCTGTCTCAGCTGCTGACCCTTCTGAGTCCCAGTGGCTCCTTTAAGGGATGCAAATATTCTGCTTGGAACATGTCATATTAAGGAGCGTTTCCAGAAGTCAGGGTTGATAACTTTTGAGGGCCAGGGAGGGCTAAGGCGGGTGACCTAAACATTGCCATCCCACCTTTTGTGCTATAAAATGTTGACCCCAGTTCATATCAGCAATCCTCTCACTTGTTCTGTGTTGGGAGGTGGAATGTGGATGTGATGGCTGGAGCAGGTGCAGCTCTCTGGACCCACAAGGTCACCACCAGAGTGGAGACCACACCTCAACACATGGAAACAGAGGGAATTTAGCCCTGACACCATGGAGCTCATGACACTGCTGGGTGCCACCTCTGGACTTTCACTGAAGAGGAAAATAAACCACCTGTGGAAGCTTCCATTGTTTTGAGTTTTCTGTCACTCACACCTCTTAGGTCCTAGGTCTTTCCATTTCTGGAAAATGCCTTTGTAACCCCCCAAACAGGTTAAGTGCCTCCCTTATATAGTCTTCACCCACACTTTTTCCTTTCTCATCAGTTACTACATTTTTCTGTAATTGGCCGTTAACTCCCCTAAGATAGAAACTTCTCTAAGGATAAGAAGAGACTTTCATACATCATTTTTCACAGAGTCTAGAAACTCTAAAACCATGCCAATAATAACTTGCAAGCATGACAGACACCATTGTTCCACTAGGGTGTTGAGATGGAAGTGACAAACAGCTGTGTCATCTGCATCAGCTGGGTCACTGCCAAGTCATTTGTGCAATGGGAGGGGGAGTGCGCCCTTCTGAGTAGCCAGAGATAGAAAATTAGGACAACAAAGGGAGGGAGAGAAAGTGATGGGAAATTGGAGTCGCCTGAGGC